GGCTATAGGCTCATGTTCCAGAATCTTAACCCTGAAGTGCCATTGACAGTGCCTCGTGTGGCTGGGCAGGCATCGAGGGAGCCTTGGAGGGGTAGGTGGGCACGCTGGCTTTTGGCTGACTATAAGGACAAGCCTGGCTAACTGGTGGGGCCGGGAGGTGGCTTTCTGTTGGAGACCTGTTTCTCCCCATACTGAGGACAGCTACTCTCTGTCAGCCAGTCAGGTAGCTCCAGAATCGGCCTACCTGTGGGTGAGGACATGTCTCTTAGTTATCTAGTCTCCACCTTCACCATTATCCATTAGCTGCCTGCACTGTAGGGCAGGCCCCAGAACCTGCTGTTTGTAGGACTGGTGTCTTGGCTCGGTGGGGAGGCCGCCTCCCTCCAGGGCTGGTTTCTAGGCAGCTGCCAGCCTCTTTCCCACCGTCCCCGTCAGGTGTGTTTTTCTTGACACAGTGGCAGACTTTTGACCTTGGCTTTTAGGGGATCATTTCACATGTTCATTCCATGTTCCCGTTGCATTAGGAGCCACCTCCTGTCCTTCGTCTTTGGGTTCTGACACTGGCCTGGATGCAGACAGAGGCCTGCTTTGTCATGGCCTCCTGGGGGCCCTTGTGCTAGCCTGGGCATCTGCTGAGGCCTGGTTTTTATGAGGAGGCCCCAGGGGACCTCTTGGTTCTGTCGTGAGGAATCCCAGGGCTTCTGAGGTAGAACCTGGTCAAATGCGCTGAACAGAACAGTACCCAGCCCATAGAGGACCCAAGGCACTCGTACTGTGAGTTCTCTTCTCGCCACCATACCAACACTAGCCTGCTATTTCCATAAGGCAGTTCTATGGAAATACCAGGCTGCTTGACAGAGGAAGGTGTCTCCAAAGGCAATCTGAAAGGGTCTGGAAGGACAGGAATCCAGTCTGCCCTCCTTGACTGGGAAAGTTTGTGCTTTGGACCCTTCCCTCCCTCCTCTCCCCCTTTTCCTCCAGCTCTTTCATCTCTTTTCCTTCCTCTTCCTCCCCTCCGTCCTCCACCTCACCCCACTATCCCCACTCTCTTCCTCTCTGCCCTTCTTTCATCTCCCCCTTCCTCCATCCTTCTGCCCTAGCTACAGCACACGCCCCTGCTGTCATTGGCTTCTGATTCAGTTCAGACAGCTATCCCTGAGCCTTTATGGAGCCCTTCCCCACCAGGGGCAGACACCGCGATCATTACACTCATTTATCTATTCAACAGGATCTAGCAAGTGCTCTGTGTCAGGCAAGGCACTAGCTCCTGGGAATACAATGACAAATTAAGAAATTGGAAGGATAACCTCTCTGTTGAGGGGGGAGCGAGATGACTTTGCTGCTACAATCCTGAGTTTAGTCTCTTTAACCTGGTTCCTTGGTTCCGGGCCACACCCAGGAATCTGCGTTTTCTAAGGGGCCATTCAGGGGATGCCAGTGCAGGTGGTGCTGGTGCAGATGGGCCCAGGTGGGCCCTGAGTCAATCTCAAAGAAACATTGCTTTCACCATGAGGCAGCGTCCAAAGCTACCCTTTGAGAGTGTTTGTTGACTGTGCCCTGCGATTTTAACTGCCCTGCTTGCCTTTAAGAGGTTAGGAAGTATAGAGTCTTGGAGGAGGATCTTAGTTTCTCATGGGTGTTAACATCAGACAATTCCAGATACCAGGCACAAGCTTTTATGGGGGATTGTTGTGACGTACCAGAATGTCTTGATGAGCTCAGCAATTACTTTCTAGAAAACTGTGTCTGTGGCATTTCTCCATCACATGGGTGGGTGCTGGCATTTATCTCTCCCAGAATGAATCTTCCCTGAAGTTTGCCTCTCCTGGCCGTGGGCTACCACCTCCACCCTGCCCCTGGGTCATAAGTGGGAGGGGACATATGTGTCATCATCACAGTTTGGTGGCAAGAACAGAAGCCTATCTAATAGGGTTTAAGTCAAGGAGGACAGACCACAAAGACAGGGGGCTCTCACATGCCCCTGGGCAGAGAGTGGAGCCACACATCTCAGCAGATGGGCAGCTGAAGTCGCCAGGCAGCCCCCACCCCCTGGCCTCACACCTCCACTGTGCACCTGCCTTGCTCCCTATGTGCCATCGTCCACATGCACCAGAGCTGTCCCCTATGGTGGCCTGTCCCTGCATTTGGATGAGACCACCTAGTTCTAGCACCCAGCACTGCCTCAATTCCAAGTTTCAGCAAAAACATAATTTGATTGGCTGTTTAGGTTTGGTTGATTGATGTGGGGGATTAGGCTCACACAGTGCTTTTCTAGGCTGCAGATCTGCTGCTTCTCTTTGAGGGGTCAAGGGCTGGAGGAAATGATTGACAGTGAGTGGTTGCTGTCCCTGGTGTAGCTGGGGTGGCACAGCCGCACCAGTAGAGGGCAGTGTCCCACGTACACAGGTATTGCTAGGAGGTTTCTGGAAAAGCTTGAATGAGCCTCAGTAGAGGGCAAAGGAGCATTATTTGCTGAGCTTGTGCCCTGTGTGCTGGGCTCATCTCACATCTTTTCACAGCAGCACGCTGTACAGAAGTAACTGGGACCCAGGGTGCTCCATTAACCTAACCCAGTACTGTTTTCAGTGGCAGTGCCAGCATTCACACTGGGTTCTTTCAACTCAGAACACTGCTATTTCCAGCGTGCCCACTGCTGCCCTGGCTCGTGGGTAGCGGGAGGAATTCCATGGAGTCAGAAATCTGGACACTGAGGTCAAAGCCAAGCTCAGAAGGAGCAGTTGAGGATCTGAGACTGAGATCTATAGTTCAGTTCCAGAGAATGCCACTGAGTACCTTCCGAGAATGCCACTGAGTACCTTCCGAGTGGCCCAGGGGAGTTTCACCAGTCATCCTTGTGAGATGTCTCTTTTGCCCACGACAGCATCTTAATGGCACATCTGGTGTTTGGCAGTTTGGGGTTGCCAGCTCCTCCATCTCCATGGAGCCTTGGCTGGAGGGTGCCACATATCAGTAGGGCTTTGAAGCTGAGTGGTCTCTGAGAGATGTCTCTTTTGCCCACGACAGCATCTTAATGGCACGTCTGGGGTTTGGCAGTTTGGGGGTTGCCAGCTCCTCCATGGAGCCTTGGCTGGAAGATGCCACATATCAGTAGGGCTTTGAAACTGAGTGGTCTCTGAACCCTACTCTGTGACTCAGGGCCAGGCCACTAAATCCCCACAGGGCTTGGCTTTTAAGTGGAGATAGTCCCTCCTTCATAGGGCTGTGGCAGTTTTTAAATGAGTCAGTGTGTGAAAAAGTACTTTGCACTGTGCTGGAGACATAGTAATTACTCAATAAATAGCTGCTATAATAATAATAATATAGTAATAATGATGATGACTCTTAGTTGCTTGAATGCAGGAAGTATATTGTGTGTTTTTCTACCCCCTACAGCACCAGTAAAATGCCTTTGATATGGTAGATGCTGAGAAAATATTTGCTGAATGGATTTATTATACAAGGGTACGTAGAAAGTCTGGAAGCAGAGATGAAAAGACATAAAGAATTTGTTGATATTGCACTACAATACAGGATGTAATATAATATAATACAATGCAATATGTAAAATGTAACAGTGGGTTGTCCGTTATTAGCAATGCAGGGTTCCATGCTTTATGCAAAATTGCCATGAACGTGGTAGATTAATGCTGCGATTCCATCAATTTCTGCACATGCATTCATGATGTGTTGCCTCAGATGGTTTTTGTCTCTGATTTCCATTGAATTCAACTTGTTCCTTTAGCCTACTCCAGAAGAAATAATCTAGAAGATTCATATATACAAAAATAAAATATTAATCTTTGTTTCCAGACTTTCTGGCCAATGGCCACCCTATCAGTACCTTTCATCTCTCCTGCTCAGTACCCCTTCTCTGTGGGCTGAGACAGTCTCTCTGTGGTTTATAATTGGCCCCTTTGGGCACCAGGGTCTCCTCAGAGTCTTCTCCCCTCTGTGAGGACCAGCATCCTGATCCACTCTCTACCATCAGAATGTGGAGTCTAGACCTCCTCCTGTTGACCTTCCTTTCTCCAGTTTCCATTCAAGTCCCCAACTGGTAAAGCCCTTCTTCCTGGGACAGGAGATAGACACATCTGTTCTTCTCCTCTGAGCTTCTCTTCCCATGCGCCCATCCTGTCACACAGCTGTCCCCAGACATGCAGTGAGAACCAGTCTCCTTGTTTGCAGACTTCACATGACATGTGAGACCTGTTCTTGTTCAAGCTGCAAAGGTGCCGGGTTATCCGTAGGTGCTCTGGGTCCCATAGTTTGACTGAAGCTAAAACATGGCTTTATGGAGAATGGGGGTATGGGCACTGAGGCCTTCAGGAAGTTATCCCATTGGCCAGAGTGGAACCAAGCCCCAAGTTATTCCATTGGCCAGAGTGGAACCACCCCCACAGGATGGTGCCTGTGATGGGCTTCTGGTGCTGATGACTTTAGCATCTTTTATAAAAATTGAGATATAGTTGACATATAACGCTGTATAAGTTTAAGGTGCACAACATGTTGATTTGGTTCATGTACATGTTGCGATGTGATTACCACCATTGCATTAGCTAACATCTCCATTACATCACATAATCATCATTTCCTTTTGTGGTGAGAGCATTTAAGATCTAGTCTCTTAGCAACTCTGGAGTTTATAATATGGTATTGTTGACTATAATCACTATGCTATACATCAGATATCCAGAACTTACTCATCTTCCGACTGCAAGTTTAGACCCTTTGACTAACATCTCATTTCCCCCACTTCCCCTCCGTGGTAACCACAATTCCCCCTGTTTTTTGTTTTGTTTTGTTTTGTTGTTGTTTTCAGATTTCACATATGAGAACATTTGTCATTCACTGTCTGACTTAGCTCACTTGGTATAATGCCCTCAAGGCCCATCCATATTGATGCAAATAGTGGGATTTCCTTTTTTCTAGTAGCTGAATAAAATTCCAGTGTGTGTGTGTGTATGTGATGACTTTGACTTTAGCGTCTCTCTCTCCCACAGGACACCAGCAATGATTGGCTGTTCCTTCGTAGTCAACAGGAAGTTCTTTGGTGAAATCGGTCTCCTGGACCCTGGGATGGATGTGTATGGAGGAGAAAACATCGAACTTGGAATCAAGGTTTGTGACATGGCGACCTTTGCTCTTGTTCACATTTGTGAGCAGAGCTGCCTGGTCATCTTAATGTATATTTAAAGCTTCCTTAGCTGGTGAATGACAGATTCCTTCATCCCACCCCTGTCCCTGAGGATGTTCCAGCAAGATTGTCACCCCTCTTTCGAGAGGGAATCCTGGGCTTTCCCTTTCAAAGAGTTGAACAATTTATGCCATGCCTCAGTGACTCACTCTGGACACTAGCCACAGAATTTATTTCCTATTCTCTTCCAGTTTCATTCTCTCCTTACATTTGTCTTAAAATTAAATTACTCCTTAAGTTAGTTTTGCCATTCTATGAATTTTGATGGTTTATGTACATTGTAGAATCACAAGATGCCAGAGAAGAGCAGGGCCATGTTCTGTGGGACCCTCCCTTGTCTCAGAAATGCTTCTAAAGAGAATGACAGGGTCGGGGAGTGAGAAGAATGCAGAATGGGCCTCTTGCTGGGCCCCTAAGCCAGATCACTTCCATTGTTAGACATGTTGTATACTGGGTTTTGCTTAAGATTTTATTTGAAAAGAGAATTCCACTAAAAAAAAAATTGGACACATTGATATATTCCAACCTCCTCTTTTTAAAGTTAAGATAAATGACCTCCCCCAACTGGTAAGGTACACCTTTAGGCCCTGTCAGCCTCTTAGCAGTAGACTTGCTGCTTCTGCCTAGTGCAAGTCTCTCTCTACATTGCAAGGAATGAGTGCTGGGAGGACTCCCTTCCTGCCGAAGTCCCTGTGTCTGTTGCCCCCTGTCCTGAGCTTTTGCATACCTAGGCCCCTGGAAAGTAGGCTTGTTGGAAATGACCCAGGACACAATGGTAAGGATTTAAGTTTATTGCATTTCTTCCACCTTCCTGTTGTATTCTCGATTTTGTTCTACCAGGCAGGTACCCAGTGCAGAATCCCTATCCCTAATCGAAGCCTGCTCTGTTTGTAATTTCATTGGTTTAGCCCTAGCTGCTCAGTACCTTTAAGACACCCCAGCAGCCCCTCATCAACACCTGAGTCCCCTTTGTGGAATGAAAGGCTTTGTGCCCATGTGATGTAATGAATGGCCAGGCTACGTGCGTGAAGGAAATGGTGGGGACCCTCTCCGGATCCTAAAATCGCTCCCTTTTGGAGATCGCAGACTCTTCCTGTGCTTTCAATTCCAGGCAGGGTTCTTTCCTCAATGGAATTTGCATGAGATTTCTTTGTAAAGTCTGGCAATTAAAAATCCAATATGTTATCATAGCTAATACGCTGTCTTTCATCGGTTTTGAATTTAATTGCAGACACAGATCTGGACCTAGCATGCTGAACTTGGCCCTGCTCCCACCTCATCCCTCCTTGTGCTGCTCTGCTGTTTTCCTTAGCTCCCATCCACTTCTGGCATGCCACAGAATTTCCTTATGTATCATGTATGTGTATTGCTTTTCTCTCTCTTCCCCTTTCTGATTGCAAGTTCTGTGGGACACAGATCTTGCATCCCAACATGAAGAACCAGGCTTGGCACATGGCTCGATAGACATCTGTTAGATTAATGATTGAATAAATACCTGTTGGGAATTGAACTGAGTAGAAGCAGTGGAGTGGTGGAGACAGACCTGATTGGAACAAGTTGATGGTTTATCGAGAGGTAATAACTGGTTCCAGGCACTTATCTGTGAAAGGAAGGAGCTGGAGGAAGCCCTGCATTGAGAGAGTTGAGGTTTTTTAAGTTTCATTTTTAAGATAAGAGGGGTTGGAATGTCTCTATATGCTGTGAGAAGGAAGCCAATGGAGGGTAAGACCTCATTACCAACATAGGGGAGAACAGGGTGATGGGTAGAGCACTGTCCCTATGGAGGCAGGGGCATGGGGGGTGGGGGGCGGTTATAAGTACAGGTGGGACTCCAGGATTTGATTGCCACTGTAGGCTGTGTTGTGGGGTGACCGAGGATTTGACAGTGGAACGCACTGCTAAGGCTTGCTAAAATGTTAGTCTCCCTTACCCTGGCTGGTGTGGCTCAATTGGTTGGGCATTGTCCTGTGCACTGAAAGGTTGTTGGTTCAATTGCCAGTCAGGGCACATGTGTGGGTTACAGGTTGAATCCCCAGTAGGGGGTGTGCAGGAGGCAGCCAATCAATGTCTCACTCTCACATGGATGTTTCTCTCCCTCTCCCCTCTCCCTTCTTCTCTCTCTAAAAAATATTTTTTTTAAAAAAAGATGTTGGTCTTCTCACACTTGCAAAGCATTTGCTTAGCAAAGGTGATGGTGGTAAGTGAGTCCTGTGTGGCTGCAGTAGGGGGCGTGCAGGAGGCAGCCGATCAATGTCTCGCTCTCACATGGATGTTTCTCTCTCTCCCTCTCCCCTCTTCCTTCTTCTCTCCTTAAAAAATATGTTTTTTTAAAAAGATGTTGGTCTCCCCACACTTAGCAAAGGTGATGGTGGTAACTGAGTCCTGTGTGGCTGTCCCCATCCCTGAAGAAGGCGAAGGGTCCTCCATCTCCACCTCAAAGCACAGCCCAGTACACCAAAGCCCCTGGGCCGTCAGCTGAGGAGCCAACCAGTTCCACTCCGCACACTCCTTTGTGAACCAGTTGGAGTAGGCAGCCTCAGGGTCTGCTCTCTGGCTGGCTTGTCTTCTCTACAACAATTTGGCTTCCCCAGATGGATCAGGGTAGATACCACCCTCACGTGCAATGGCCTGCCTCTTATTGTACACTCGAGCACAACCAGCATCCACGCTGGAGACAGGAAAGGTTTATGCCTCTCCCCAATGACCGTGTCCTTTTGTGAGCTGCAAGCTGACTCCATAGAAGCCTGTTTTCTGCCCATTCTTAAAGCAGAGTTGAGTGCTGTTGATGCCATAAAGACCAAGGCCTGGGTTTAGGGTCTTCAGAGCCACCGTCTACACACTATCCTGTGGTTCTCAAGATGTGGTCCCTGACCAGCAGCATCGACTTCATCTGGGAACTTGTTACAAATGCAGATTCTCAGGCCCCACCCCAGACCCCCTACATCAGACACTCTGGGTGGGGTCTAGAAACCTGTGTTTTAACAAGCCTTCCAGGGGATTCTGTCACATGGCCAAGCTTAAGTGCTCCTGGGTGTACACCTTGACCATAGTCAGCTTCTTAGCAAATACATACTTTTCTCAGAAAGGATCCCAGGTGAGAGTTCACATGTTTCAAGGCCCTCCTCCAGATGTCCCCATGGCCATTGCAGGCCCACAGGGAGTCCCTTATCCTCACTCCCAGCCCACACAGCACAGCCCCCACCCCTTAGGTAACAATACCTTCTTCCTCCTTAGCTTAGTATGCAGGTGTCTGGACCAAGTGATTGTCGGTTCCTGGACAGGGCTCCCTTTTACCTGGAGATCTATGTAAGCTGCTTTGTTTACCAATCATATAGTATTTCTCTTTTCATTTTGTGCTATTTTATAATGCTTAGAGCACAAATTGGGGGAATAATAAATACATTTTTAAGAAAGCCATCCCCACAGCTTGAAAAAGCTTCGAGCTTTTTGTAATCTTCTACATGCATATATAATTTGAACACAGTGGGCACACATACATTTATATAAATTAGCTAGGAGAAACGATACAGAATCCTATGCTTAAGTGGGAAGATTTCAATATGTGCATACCATACTTTCTTTGGGATTTTTTTTTCACCAAGAAATAGGTCCATCTGCAGTCTTTCTAACTAGTCTCTGACATTTTTTCATTACTTTTTAATTCCTCAGTAAGTAGAGTGTCACAAGAATAGGAAGAATAGACAGTGTCACTGAGGCTGAAGGCTGACTTCCGGCTGTCGCTCAGATGAAAGGCAGCTTGCCTGTGACCAAAACAATCGATACAATACCGTGAAGGGAAAGAAAAGCTTCCCAGGACCAAGAAAATAAATGAGGTTAGAAATGGAAAGGTGTCATCTTGTTCTGAGTAACAATCAGAAACTTTTAACGAGGCATATTACTGTAACATATCTACATGGGAAGAAAAAAAAATCTCCAAGGACAGAAGAGCAGATAGATCACTTTTAAGTGTAGTAAAATCAGGTGGCTTCAGACTTCCCTGGCATATCAGTCTTCTTTGGGAAGAAAAGGCACTACTTATTCTGAACCCTCATGTAAAAGAGTGACAGGCAAGACTGCTGAACCCTGTCGCACAGCTGTTCCTAATGGAAGACAATAGAAAGGCGCTGTCAGATCCTACAACTATCAGAAAATGTCTTAGCTCGAACAGGACCCTCAAGGACTGAGTAAAAGACAGGATTCATGTGTGTATACATGGCTGTTAAAACTATTTATGAGGCCAAGGACCCACAATGGAGATGGAGATAAGTAAGCATGTGGGTGTGGGATGCACAGGTGTGATAACCTTACCTGGCCCATCCTAGTCTGAGGGCCTTCTCCTGGGTACAGTTTTTGCCGATGCTCCACAATAGTCTCAGTTAATGCATTCAGACTCCTATCCTGGCAAATTAGGGGAAAAGGAAGTATATATATAATAATTTTTACAGAGTAACAATAATATTCTTAAAAAGCAGATTTTTCCCAATGGGCGTGGCTCAGTTTATAGGTTGAGTGTCAACCTATAAATCAGGAGGTCACAGTTCGATACCTGGTCAGGGCACATGCCCTGGTTGCAGGCTTGATCCCCAGTGTGGGGCATGCAGGAGGCAGTCGATCAATGATTCTCTCTCCCTCTCCCTTCCTCTCTGAAATCAATAATAATATATATATATATTTTAAAAGCAGAGTAAGACCTGGGTACCACAACTGCTAGTTGCATAATTGGATGCCCTGGGCCACACTATTTTTTTTTTGAAGAGCTGGGATGCCATTCTTAGGACTCAGGTGGGTCCAAGATGGGCATCCTTGCCACCTTGCCCGGCCCAGTCCACTTGAGCTCAACTCATTGAAGATCTAAAGGGTCACCCACAGGCTGGGGTGCTCAGAGTCTCAACGCCAATCAGGATAGCTTCATCAATAGATTTGG